TGGAAATACCCAAGAAATATCGAGGACTCATTTGTTATTATGCCACTGCATAATGAACAGAGCCATTGTTCCTACCTGGGCTGACAATCCCTTTCACACAACACGAGTGCTTTTCCCAGTTTGTTCTTCACAAAATGGCAAAAACCCAAAGGTACCGGCAGATCGCTGAACGGTTCAGAAAATAAAATACAACAAAATAAAACAGCTAACATTATTCAGAGGATTTTCACACTTGATCTGTAAACGCTTTTTTATTTAATAAAAATAATCATCCATTATAGCAACTTCTGCTTGTGGTTTGGTTTTGTTTTTGTTTTGTTTTGTTTTTTACATTAAAGCACAGTTTATTTGCTTTCCTCACCTCTTGAGGATTCAGTTCTGAAAATGCAAGTGAATGTAAACAGTGCTCTCCAAGTCCCAAGATGCATCCAGGGACACTTGGAATTAATTAGAAAGTCAAAAGAGAGCAAAATCAACAAAACACTTCCCAAAAGTAAAAATGTATTTTTAAAGTCTCTTCCTACGTACCATACAACTCCAGAAAAGGCAAATTCATTTATACATTCAACGTATACAAACTTTGCTTTCTCCAAACCATTTCTGTGACTTGTCAGCATTTGATAAAGCTGTTTTCCTAACATTAAAAAACTTATTTATTGTGTCAAATCAAAACTTTTTCCTATAAATGTTCTCCATAAATTTATTCATGGCACAAGGATGTTAGATTTGTTCTGTCCATTTTTGTTTAGGATTTTATTTTTTTAGCACAAAGAGCTGAAAGCCATTTCAGGAAAGAGTGTAAAAGCAGTATTAACTCTCTCTCCTGCTCCAATCTCACGATATTTACACTTGGATTAAAAAAAAAAAAAGCTTAATTACACTAAAAAACAACGGAGAAACTGGAAGTTAAGTTTCTCATTTCAGAGTTTTGCCTTGTATAAGACTGAAAGAGGGATGCTTCCCTATTTCCTAGGAAAGATGAGACTGGCAAGTTAAAACCTGAACTCTTTCTTAATTGAGAAAGACGAATGGCCACTGTGCACAAACCCCTTCATCTCTGCAGGAAATCCTGCAGGAGTTAAACCATCACAAATCAGCACAGATGAGAGAACATGGTAGGCAGAGCCCTGCTGTTTGCTTTGAAACGTGACTATTTACAGTTGAGGTGGAGGAAGCAAGTGAGCATCGAACACATTTCAGTGCTGCAGAGCGGTATAATATCAAACGAGATTAACTCGTGGGGAGCTTGGCAGGGTCCCAGGGCTCACGTTGCAAGGGAGACAGTCTCTGTTGCCTGGGACATCCCTGCCTGCACAGCAGAGCCATCGCTCTGTCGGGCTCTGCTCTCACGAGTAACGAGATGGCAATTGCCATCTCAGCTGTGTTGTGTCACAGACAACACAGAAATTAAACAGAAACGGGTATGACATTAAAAAATAGCAACAAAAATAGCCAGTCTGGTGAGGTCTGTGATCCTAAGCTTTAAAGCCATAAAAAAAAAAAAAAAAGACAGGAATTTGGAAATTTTGGTAATATTATCAAACTGTCAGGTAGGGGATGGCTCTAATTGTTCAGTGGTTTTGCAGGGGGTAGGAAAAGAAAGATCTTTAAAGTACCAAAGATAATTAAAGCATTCACAGTTTCAAAGCTGCTTGCCTTACAAAAATTAAGACATTCAAATTCAAGAATACAATACTGTATTTTACAAGGGGGTCAAAATTCATTACATATACAACGAGGGGGGGGTGGGGGGGGAAGTCACAACAAAATAAAAAAGCCAACACCTCTGGTGTGGCATACTCCCTCTTTGTTGTTCATCTCGCAGAGCTGCATGATGTTTGCCTTTAAAGAGTCAAACTGAGCAGTCATGAGAATATCCACTGAGAGATTCTGGCAAAAGAAAAAAAAAAACAAACCAACTAACAAAATAAACCAAGCAAGTCAAAGGCCATCCTCCCCTGGCAAGCTGAATGCCACAGCTCGGACCTCCACTTGCCTGCTGCTCCTCACTGTTCCCACAGGCTCATCTCAGGTTTTAAAGGCTTCCTGCTCATGAGCTGAAGGAAACCATCCCACGCAAGCACAGCCCAAGAGAGACGTACTTCACACTCCTACAAAGTCTTGGTTAGTCCTGCCGGCACCAAAGGGTCCTTCAAACATTCCTTTTCCTCTCTATCCTGCAGAGGATCCTTTTGAAAGCCCGTCTGAAGTCATGGTTGAAAATGGTATAGATGACGGGGTTCAAGGAGCTATTGCAGTAACCGAACCAGAAGAAGAACTTGAAGAGGGTGTCAGGCACGGAGCAGCTCTCGCAGACGGCCGTCAGCGTGTAGGTGAAGAAGAAGGGGAACCAGCAGATGACAAAGACCCCGATCACCACTGCAAGCACAAAGGTGAAACGCTTCTCCCGGTTCTGCCTGCCTCTCCAGCGGGACCCTTTGGTGTTCCTCTCCTCCTCTGTCTTCCTGGGCAAACTGTCCCCGGGCTTAATTTGGCTCAGCTTAGTCTTGGTCTTTCCTTTCAATGGTCTCTCTGACTTCTTACACTGGTTGTTCTCCTGGTGCTCAGAGGAAGAGGTCTCCTCCATGTCTATGCCATTGACCTCTCCCTCTTGCCCACCACTGCCTCCTGCTGCCTTCTCCCCATTGAGCTGCGCTGTGGCTGGCAGGTCCTCCTTGTCAGTCAAGCCATTCTGCTTCTTCTCGGGGCGCTCTGCCCGCTTGTTCGGTGGGACCCTGGTTCTCCTCTTGGCTATCTGGTAGATGCGCATGTAGACCAGGATCATGATGAGGCAGGGGGCAAAGAAGGAGCCGATGCTAGAAGAGATGATGTACCACTTCTCATCGTTGATCTTGCACCCTGCCACCCCCTGGTCAGCCTGCTGCCCGCTCTTCTTCTCGATGGAGATGAGTGGTGGGAAGGAGATGACAGCCGAGATGACCCAGACGATGAAGATGATGCATTTGATGCGCCGCGGGGTACGCTTGAGGTTGTACTCGATGGCTTGCGTGATGGACCAGTACCGGTCCAGGCTGATGGCACAGAGGTGCACAATGGAGGAGGTGCAGAACAGCACATCCAAAGCCAGGTAGATCTCACACCAGACTTTTCCGAAGTACCAGTACCCCATCACCTCATTTGCCAGCGAGAAGGGGATGACCAGCGTGGCCACCAGGATGTCAGCTGAGGCTAAGGAGACCAGGAAGAGGTTCTGGGGGGCTTTGAGCGCCCGGCTGGTGAAGACAGCGATGATGACCAGGACGTTGCCAAAGACGGTGAACAGCATGAGCAAGCTGGCCAGGCTGATGAGAGTGATGGTGGTGTGCAGAGGGTACGGCGTGCCCCAGCCCGGGCCGGCCCCGCTGTCGTTGAAGGTCCCATTAGCGCCGGGAGGGGGGTAGCCCTCCTCCTCCTCCAGCTGCCGCTGGTACTCCATGGAGGAGAAGAAGTGGCCCCTCTCCGTGAACGGGCGCTCCAGGTTAAACATCAACCCCGGCTGCGCGGACACCCCCGCCCTTCGCCCCGGCTCCACCCGCGCCGCGCCCGGTCCGTGCGCGGCTCGCCCGCGTCCTATTGCGCCTCCGGCCGGGGCAGAGCGGCGCGCCGGGGGCCGGGGGGCTGCGGGCGGGCACGGCGCATCCTGAGCGCGCCGGGGCGGGCGGAGCGGGGCCGGGGCTGGAGCTGCAGCCGGCCGCGGCTGCTCTGCCTCGCTCGCCGCCGAGCAGCTTTATAGCCCCGGATCGGGCCGGGGCTGCCGCGTCAGCCCCACGTGGGGAGCTGCCCCCGGTGCGCGCACACGCACACACAGACACAGACAGAGACACACATGGACCGGCAGACACACACGGACACACGCAGCCCGGCTCGCACACCGCGCACCCTGCGCCCACACGGACACTCGCGTCCCCCGCACACGCCCCTCGCTGTGCTCCCACGCCCGCTCCGCGCACACACCGCACCCGCTCGCACTGCCTCTATTTGCACACCCGCTCGCTCCCCAGCACTTCCGCGCACACATCCGCACCCACTGTCACGCTGTCCCCATCCCAGGGTCTCGCCCAGCCCGGCTCTCCGCTCCGCCCGGAGAGAGGAGCGGCCCCGCGGAGCGCGCCCCACTGTCCCCGGGGATGGGCGTGCGAGGGGCGGCTGGAGGCGAGAACCGTGCGGCCGCTGCGGAGGCTCCGCGGGCCGCAGGGAGTGAAAGCTGCCGCCCCGTTCCGCCTGTGCGCCGGGGAACGGACGGGCTCCGCTCCGGCTGCCGGGTGTGCGGCCGTGCGTGCTGGGAGCCCCGAGGGCAGCGCCTCCCCCACGGCCCCGCGTGTCAGCCAGGGAGGGCTGGGCTGCCGGCCCCGAGGGCGAGGGAGCCCGCGGGGTGGAGGGAGACCGCGGAACGGAGGGAGCCCGCGGGATGGAGGGAGCCCGCGGGATGGAGGGACCCCGCGGGATGCGGGACCCCGCAGGATGCCGGACCCCGCAGGATGCGGGATCCCGCGGGATACAGGGCTCCGCGCACGGCGGGCCCGGCGGGGCGGACGGCGGCCCCGGGCAGCGCGGGGGGGCAGTGGCACCTGGCGGCCGCGGCGCCTCACTGCACCCGCCGGGCCGAGCGGCGGCCCCAGTGCCGCAGCCCCGACGGCCGAGGGGAGGACGGGGTGGCGGGGCAGCCGCGGGTGGGGCAGCCCCGCACCGCCGCACCGACCCCAGCCCGGCTCAGCCCCGCTGCACGGGCACCCACGGCGTCCCCATGCCACAGCACAGGCTCAGCACACCCGCTCCTGGCGGTCCCCAGGGGCAGCAGGACTGGGCAGGCAGCTGCCTCGCAGGGTGCCCCACACCTGGGAAACCTCCCCAGGCGCTCCCCGACAGCAGCGGGGCTGGCATCCACCTCCGTGGCTGCAGCAGCAGCGTGGAAGCTCTGTAACAGCAAAGGAACAATAGTGACACTCCAGGAATCCCACCCAGCCCTGATGCTGCCAGCTCAGCAGGTACAGATCACTCACCTGCAGAGCACACGGCCTCCAGCCCCCCTTCCTCACTTGCAGCCTCTTTCCTCTCGGTTTCAGATGGTTCTAGTGATGCTCACTTGATGCTCCAGATCCAGGCTGCTCTCAATCGCTGTGCTGAATGCTCGAGCCAATGAACCGATTTCCTCTGCAAGAGGAAAGCCTTCAGGGAGGAAGGCCTGTCATCTTTGTCCCTGTGCCACACACCATGTTATAAACCAGGACCAGGAGCAGTGACGCCCAAGAGAGGGAACAGGAATGGGAGAGACAGGGTCTGGGAGCCAGAGAGCACAGCCTCTGGGACTGGCACAGGGCTGAGTGAGGGAAAAGGGGGAATCCCATTGCCTGAGCAAGTGAGTGCAGGGCCCACTGCACTGGTGTGTCTAAGAAAAGGGCAAAATTCAGAGAATAACTCAAAACTTGTAAATTGAACCCAAGATGACTGGCATTCCCACAGAAAAGATCTGTCTGAGAGTAAAGGTCACATACAAACACAGATTTCACTGCAAGGATGAGAGGACTAAGTCACCTAAGTCTATGGCAAGGCCAGGTGAGAGGTCAAGGATATGCTGGACTTTGCAGACATCCCCTTCCTGCAGGGGACTGCTGTGTTCTGTGGATGCCTTGCTCTGCCTGGCAGAGGGTCTTCCTCAGATAAGGAGTCTTCAACACTCTTGGCAGAAGCGTCCTTGGTCACTGCTTGGGTGGAAGGACCCAGACGGGGAAGGGTGAGACTGTGCCCTGCCCGCATGATCAACCCCTTCTGTGATCAGTTTGATCCAACAGTTCACCTTCACTAAGGCCACCAGGGACTGTCTGAGATGCTTTGCTCTGGCCTGGGATGGTGCCTTTCTGGAAACACTCTGCCTTCCCCCCATGCTCTCTGCATTCCCCAGCACAGACTGCCAATTTAAATTACAAAGCATGACCAGCTGCCTTATTTTCCATCTCTTTTTGTAGCTAGATGCCCTCAGTCTGCCTGAAGCTAAACACAGCCAACAATGTTGCTCCTTATCCACTGCATGGCAAAAGCAGCTTTGATCAGTTCAGTTTGCTGGGACAAAGCTCAAGGGGAACATGAGGCCAAAGGCCTGAAGAAAAGGGTTTGTCCCAGAAACACCACTAGAAAGAGAGCTCTCTGCAAGTGGGGAACAGCTGGGATAACATTGTGTTCATCTCAGAGAGGGAGAAAACCTGCCTCATCAAAGGCACTTTCCTCTCATTGCCACCATTGTTGTGCGTGTGACATCTCTGTGATTTTATTGACATCAGAAGTGCTCAGTGCTGTCTGCAAAGTGACTCAGTAATGTTGTCTCCCTTTGATTTTCTCTGCAGGTTACCTCATGGCTCTGCCCAAGTGTTGAGATGAAGGCTGGTCAGAAATTGCAAGGGCTGGCAAGTAGCCTGAAGATCTCACATGACAACCCATGGCACACCTTGTCCTACAGGACAGCTGTCTTTACAAGTCTATACCATGCTTAATGATAATTTGTAATATTCATAAAGCCTTAACTCCCAGAGTCCTGGGATTAGACAAGAAACTTGAATTTTTAGCCTCTGGAACACTGTAGAGAAAAGTTCCACAGGGACAAAGAACAGCAGGCAAAGAACATTTTTATATCAATTCCCTGACGTTTGCATCCAGACGCTCAATTTTTGCATGCGTGCTGCTGACAGCGTTAATATGAGTAATAAGACTCTGCAGATCAAACTCAGTCGACAAGTGCCTGACAAGGCAGCCCAGAAAACAGCCTGTTCTCTGCAGCATCCCACACTGAAGACCTGCAGGAGCCTGCCCTTTCCCCAGAAAGCAGCCTGGCTTCTCAGCAGAGCCCTACAAGGAATCAGGCTCGCCAGCCAAGGGGGGATGGCCTGGGTGCACACTAATGAGTGAGGCTGAAGGCTGTCAAGCCTCCTGTGATGGCTCCTCTCCAGCAGCTGCCATCCCGGGAGGGCAGCAGTGCCCTTTGCAAGGCACGGCGGCCAAGTTCGCATTCAGCACGCGTGCCTCGAGCGCGGCCCCCGCAAACAAACTGACCTTTCCCGCTGTTTCAGGTCATTAATTAGGCATGCTGCCTCCATGTTTATACATCTCCTCCACTCCTCCATCGCTTCCAGCACCGTCTCCATTGCAGGGAACCGGGACCACCCTCCCCTGTTGCCTCTCGGGGAGAAGGAGCTGAGAAACGCTCATGTGGTCTGGGGAGTTGCTCACAGCATGAAGCAAACCACATATGGAGAGAGAATCTCTGGGAAGGATCGCTATGGTAATAAGGCTGTAAAATGTGTGTTTTGAGCAAGCAGCCCCAGGAATTGTTTCTTTCCAGAAGAGCAGTGAGATTCTGGCAGGGGAAAATTTTAAAAAGACCGGTGAAGGACCAAGGCTTGCTTTTTAGACAGTCTGCTTCAGGCCTAAGAAACTGGACAAACCTAAGACTATGTCAAGGTACAGCAGCACGGACTCCTGGGGGGACCACATGAAAGGGACAACCATTGTAACAAGGTGCAGAAATTATTGCTCAGCAGAAGCTTTCAAGAGCAGCTTGACACAAGCATGAAAGAGGGAAGCCTTGTAGCTGTGGGTGCTGTGCACCTGGAGGTAAACAGCAGTCACAGCTTGCTTTGCATGAGCTCTGTGATTTGCACTGATCTCAATATTTGCATATCCATGGCAGGAAGCCCTTGTTGTAGCTGTGTATTTTGATCATGCTGCTGGGCTTATCTGACTATATCAAAGCAGGGTGTCTTTCAGGAGGATTTGCCTTACTAACTGTTCAGTTACCTTTGGGAGTAAGGCACTGAAATCCCATGGCTCGTGACCCCCCTCTGGAGTAGACCCTTCACAGCAGCTTCAATTTGGTCAGTTTTCCTCCAGGTCTAGGACAAGCCAGCAGAGATGCACCCAAGTCACACAAAAGTATGGTTTTCCCTTTTACTGTGTTAACTCCAGGAGGAGAAACAGCATAGAAGCTATCAGGGAAGAGGCACAGACATTCCACAGGCAAACTTGGCTTTACAATGTTCCACTGCAAAGTAACACAGCAAGCACACCTTCCATTTCCAGGCAGATGTTTCAAATGTTGTGATTCCTATTTTCCTTCTATTTCTAAATTAAATTCAAAAACTGTCTAGTGTGGCCACCCCTCCAGCTGCTTTGAGACCCCAGGCACATTTCTTCCTACACACATTCAGACCCACAGCTCTTCCATTCCTGCACGTGAGAGTTTGGGGTTTGCTCTTTTCACAGATCTCACAGCAATAGCTCCTGAAGAGCCAGGCATGTTTTTCAACAGAGTTTTTCTGAACTCAGCTGCTGGATGTACTTTTCCAAATTATTTGAATAAATCAGTAGGAAATGGATAGCTGCGGCAGTGGTCTGTGCTAGCACCTAATCCCCTTGTGAGCAGGGATGCTGCCATGGTATCAGATGTTCAGAGGGGAAGGAAAGGAGACACACTGAATATTACCTACAGCAGCAGTTCTTCACTTCCCCCATCTGCAGACAGCTGGCTCAAAACAGCACGAGATGGATGCTGTGTGACCACCTGCTCCTCAGGTGGTTTTTTTTGCAAACAACTCGAAATCTCTGCTTGCCTTTCCTCTGCTGTTTGGATTGCCTGCCCTGTTCAGCAGGATTTTAACTACCAAATTTGATTGCACAGCCCTAAACCAACAGCCAACAAAAACATTTCCTTGCTACAGATTATAGCGTGGCAGAGTCAGGGGTGAGGCTGACACGGGGATTGTGCTCGTGCAAGCCTCTGGTTTGTTTGTTCTGTATTTTTCCTCTTGCTTCTGCCTGGTGTCACAGTGGCCTGGAACATAAAAGGCTCATTTCAGCACTGCAGGAGGAGCACTGCACAAGAAACCTGCCTGGCTGTCTGCATGTTTCTGGCTTGTGTCCCTCAGGCACTTCAATGCCTATGGGAGAAGGGAGAGGGAAATGTGCATTTTCTCTCTGCAGCACCCACAAATACACACACACACGTACCTCTGTGCCAAGCATAAGGTGAGTGTGTTTTTATGAAGTGTTGTTTTCTTTATTCAGGTCCCTGTTTGGGACTTCTTCGCTGCATCCTGCTACATGGCCAGAACTAAACACCAGGGGGCCATCCCTCAGTGCTGGAGAGCAGCTCCATTCCCCTCCCCAGGCTTCCCAGCGTGCCAGCTCACAAGATAGATCCCACTGAAATTAGCCAAGAACTGTAGAAACATAGTAAAAAATAAACTAAACTGACTATGGACCATTCCTAATTTACTACAAGGTTCTTCCATACTGCTCACTATCAGGGGACTGAGTCATTGCCTCTGATAAAACCCTGTATCAGACTACAGTGGGCTTTTCCATATCTAAGGACCACATAGCCAAAAGACAGCCAAAACCTTCCAGCCAGGGTAGGTGATATTCCCCAACATCTGGCCCCACTCCTGCCTGGAGGCTGCCCACAAACAGCCTTAGTCCTGTGGGTACTCCCTGACCTGCTCCCATGCAAAGACTCCTCTCAGCAGCAATGCCCAGCAAGAAATAACCAAGCCAGAAGCACTGCCACACTCCTGGAACCAGGGCAAGCAGGTCAGTGTCCCAGCCAGTCACAAAGGGAATGCCTCTCCAAGCCTGCACTGCAACAGCTCGCCCCAAGACATGGGCAATGCCCCATTCCTAAAAGTGTTCATGGTCAGGTTGGTTGGGGCACTGGGCAACCTGATCTAGTTGAAGATGTCCCTGCTCATTGCAGGGGGTTGGATTGGACTAGATAATCTTTAAAATGCCTCCCAACCCAGACCATTCTATGATTCTGTGAGAAGCATGTCATCCTGGGCATGCAGAGTGGCACCCAGGCCAGTATTCAGAGAGCAGAAATGTTGGGCACCTTATAACCTTCCCTAAATGAAAGCAATAAAGTTTCTGCAGCTCAACAAGCTCCCCTTCATGAGCAGAGTCAGCCTGTGTTTAAGACAAAATTGAGACCACATCCCTTTAAAGCATTTAATTTCCCAGCTGGGAGATGCTGGCATTCAGTTACTCAGCTGAGGAGTAACTCACTCCTTCAAGTTCCACTCCCCAGTGCCCAAATGTGTGCACCTGCCCTTTCTCTCCCCGTTCTCCATGATCACTTCGCTACCTCTGGGGCAGGGGCTGCCGTCATCAGGATTCCCTCAATCTCTCTTGCAAAGGCAGTGGTGCCCCGGGTGAGCTGTAACTCCCTGGGCCATCACCCATCCCCAGACTCCTCCGGCACAGCCAGAGCAAAGCTTCCAGTGAAGCAAACAGCTCTGAAAAGAGATGGCCCATCAGAGAGCAGCCATGCAGGGATTGCAATTCCCACCTGCCAAGCTGTGGGCTTCACAGCAGGTTCAGGTCCTTGTGGGAAAGGGGAAGCAGATCATACACCCTCTTCAAAAATGGACCAAAGTAAATTGCTACAGCAGGAGACAGCTTTCTGTACATAGCTGCAGGTTTGTGTCTAACACAGCTTGCCATGTCTGTATCAATGCAGGGTGGCAGCACCAGAGTTAAAAAGATCAGAGTCAGGGTGGCAGCAGCAGTTCTTGAAGGCTGGGCCGTATAAAATGTCCAGGGAATAATTGCCTGAAATTGCTGGGTTCCCAGAAAGCAGAGCACGTCAGCCTGGTGTCACAGGGAGTGAGGCCGCTGGGGAACACAGCGAGACTTCTGTGTTCTCCCTCATTCCTTACCTCACCATCTAGTGGCAAAAGCAAATAACACTGAGGAGCCATCCAGGAGCTGCAGCAGCTCTGGAGGGAGACTGTGCTTTGCACCAGCTCCTCCCGCTTCGATCAGCTGGGGACACAGAGGAGGACAGGCAGCACCCAGAGCCCTGCAGTGCCCCAGTCCTAAATCACAGCCCTGTACAAACACTGCTCTGCACAGGCTGACTCCCCTCCCAGATGGATCACTGCCCCCACCCCGTGCCACTGTGTCCCCACTGTCCCCATGCTGGCTGCAGCCCACAGGCTCCTGTAATTTCTCCCCAGGGCAGCAGTTCTTGCACCCTGTCTCCTGCCCCAGCCCCTCCTCAGAAGGGCCCCAGCTCCCAAGGGGACAGTAAGCACAGAAAGCAGGGCAAACCCAGGTCTCCTGGCAATCAAACCCAGCACAGGCTGAGCCAAGCCCCCAGGAAAAGTTGTCATGGTGAGCAGAGCCCTTCCAAGTTGGGACTTCTCCTTCCCCTCCTCAGATGAATTGTTAACCAGGGATGCAGTTAGTAGAGGAAAAAAGGTGGAAAGAGACACGTACCTCCAAAGAAGAACCTTCACTGTGGACTCAGCTGGATGTTACAAGTACCTCGTGTGCTGGGGAGAGTTTGCCTTCATCAGCTTTCCAGAGCTGCTTTCTCCATGTGCTGTCCCTTTGCCATCAGGCCATGCCAAAGGGCCAGGCTTCCCTTCCACTTCCCGGCCACGATCCACCCACTTGGGCATGGCAGGAATGCTTGCACACAATCTGCTCCATGAGAGGGAAGGAGAGGGCACCTGCCTGCAGGGAGACTACCCGGAATGGGGAGGTCACAGTGGGTTCAGCCCCCAGAGCAGGGCCAAGTGCTGCCCAACATTTGAATTCCAGCTGGTCCATGGTCCCACACCTTCCTGGCCTGAGTGATGATAGCCAGGCGAGCCAAAACCAGAGCAAAACAATCTTCATCTGGTGGGCAGAGGATGAAGGGCTCTCTTCTCCAGGGACAGTTTCCATCCTCACAGTGGTTTGCAGATTCTGCATCCATCATCATTACAGCGCTCATTCCCACACTGCCTACAAGACAATTACCCCATGCAGATTGCACAGGGATATTGCAGATTGCAAGGCACAGTCACAGGAGTATTGCATAGGGATATTACAGATAGCAAGGTACAACTTGTTTTTTCCCTGAGAGGCTCAAATTAAGTTTAAACACCAGCTTTTGATATATTTGCTTATTCAGCACTGTCAGTTGCTTTTCAGCAATACAAGCTGGCTCTCTCCCCAGGAAACATTTATCCTATCTGGGAATCAAGGATGGTAATGTGTAATGAGGACAACGCACTTAGAGAAGAAAGGCTGAGTGAAGCCCTATATCTCCACTTGCACTTTTTCAACTCAGATTTTCCTTTTCTCTGGAAGCATCCTAGGTACCAAGGGAAATTCCTGCCATACAAAATTCAAGAGCAAAATAATCCAAGTCATTCCCTGAAGTG